ATCTGAACCGATTTTTCCCAATTTCAATAGGGTTCGTCCTTGGGCCAAATAAGTGACTTGTACCAAATGTCATCCAAATCGGATCATAAATGCGACCTGTACTTTGTTTACAATTTAACATCTACAGACGGACGGACGGACATGCATAAATCGACTCAGAAAGTAATTCTATGCATATTCTCAAAAGGAACTATGTGTCTATCTCGTTTCCTTTTGCCTGTTACAAACATATGCACAAAGACATAATACCCTGTACCACAGTGTGATGAAGGGTATAAAAATCAACTCTTACTCAATACTGGAAATTAAAAAAAAAATCCACTCTTATATTTCGGACTTGAAAATAACAGCCTGTTTTTGTAAAATTCCAAACGAACGAATTCGAGTGACTTACGACCAAACTCCTTGGTTTTGAAAAATATGTCATTTATTTTTGTTTTGAATCAGAAAACCTTTATAAACATAAATAAAGGTTTGGTCGTAAGTCACTCGAATTCGTTCGTTTGGAATTTTACAAAAACAGGCTGTAAGTTCTTAAAAATCACGCCCATGAAAAATGTTAAAAAAACACTTCTATATTTATAACTTGAAAATTTTTCAACAATCCAGGCCTATATTTCGGACATGAAGATATATTTAAAAAAATAAATAAAAAATATTTTTAAAAAATCCACGCTTATATTTGGAACTTGAAAAAATACTTCTAAAAATTCCACGCCTATATTAGGAGCTTTAAAGGTATTTGAAAACCAGTGAGCGGAGCAGTATAGTCGGACGGGGCCGACCATACGATACCCTACACAACTTCCATGAAAATCTAACTTTCTGTGGTTCTATATTCTGAGATTGGTAATATTTCGCGATATTTGCTCACTTTTGACTGAACTCTAGGTCAGCAAATGTTACTAAAAATCAGTACAGATGTTCGGCTTTCGATTCGAAAAGTACAAATAATTAAGTTTTCGGTCCTCTTCATCCGAAAAATATTATCTGATCATCACCTAACATTTTAGGCGTTGTCCTTGACCATAACTGGAACCTCATGGAACATTTCAAAGCGATCAGCGCTATATGTCCGTGCTCCAGTATGGTAATAGGTTACTAAATAATATATGACGTCGTAAGCACCTGTAAATATTTAAGTGTAACTCCCGCATCCGAGTACCTACGACAATATAATTGGTATCAATTTAAAGGTCAACCACTCCTCATGGATATACTATCAACTTCTCGGGTCTATGTCCTTCAGTGGTAAATATATACGCTATAGAATACAAAATTTGTCATTTTTCACACAAAAGTTAGGGTCCATTTGACCCGCTAAATACTGACCGATCTTTATCAAAACAGGCATGCTTATTCTATGGCCCGATGCCCTTCTCTATGCAAAAATTCGCGGTGTTTGGGCCAAAATTGCGGCCTCTGGAGCGACCAGAAAAACCGACAAAAATAAAGTTTTTGGTCCATTTCATCCCCTTAATATTAATCGATCTTTTCCAAAAACAATAGGGGTCTTCATTGGCCAGAACCCATCCTACATGCAAAATTTCGTGAAGATTGGTCCATAACTGTGGCCTGTATCGTGTTTACAAATTATAATGGACAGACGGACGGACGGACGGACACACATTTCTAGATCGACTCAGATAGTCGAGATATGACGATCGGTATACTTAATGGTGGGTCTAGGACCAATATTTCGCGGCGTTACAAACTTTTGGGGCTGCACAAAGCTATAATACCCTGACAACATAGTTGTGTAGGGTATAAAAATCCGACTATATTGGGATTTTTAAAGATATCTCCTCCTTTTGAAATATGAAAAATATTTCTAAAAAAATTACGACTATATTTGTTTTCATATTTTTCGATTTATATTTCAAAATCGCAAAGTGTCTGTCCTATGTCCTCAATACTCTCAACAATTCTTCAACGTATTGAATTGACATTAGAAATGTTTGACGTGGACGTTAAACCGATCCGAAATCTTTGTCGTAAAATAGAAATGGTTTTGTTGCTTGTGTAGCACTTATCGGCTTTATTATCCCTCGATATCGTTGTCCAATCACCGTAACTCCTGATCCAACCTCATTTCGAGGTTGCAATTACGCGGTCGGACAAGAATCCTGGATATAAGAAAGACAACATCATTGGTTATTTGTTCTTTACTCACTAAGTCTTCTTATAAAAAATTCCTCGAACATTTTTGCGTACTTGGCCTAAAACCTAAAATATTAGAAATAGAAGTTTAACTTCCACCCGTCCCTAATTTGCCACAACTATATCTCTTTCCTCTGTGGGACATTTAATTCTCGTTAAGATTTCGAACACACAATCCTTACACCATTTCGTGACAAAAATTCCAAAAACAAATATTTTATTACGAAGGCGTTTAATTATTATTTAATTAGTCATTAGGGAAATTTAACTCCTGGCCCAACAAGATGTTGATTGCCTTGTTCAGCATCAATCGACAACACAAAACGTTTTAACTTTGCTGCTAGCATTCCAATAATTGCCACGACATAATTCCCTGTTGACCCTCAAAACCACCTCCTTCTCCTTCTAATTTCGAACAATCTTTTTGGTGTTAACAAACCAATAAATAGTTTGAAAAGCTGCTAAGTCATCTACTTCTTCGGGTTCGTACAACTAATGAATACAAAATGTTTGAATTCCTTGCTGTTCTTGTTGTAGTTGCTGCTGCTACTGTGTGGCTATGATCAAAAGTCAATTAGTCCTGGGTTTAAAGTTTTCATCGGAAAATTCATTTCGGTGGTTTCCTTTCAATTCTCTTTGACAAATTGAAAAATCTAGAAGTTGAATTAAAGCACGCCAAGAATTTTCCGTTTAAGTCATGTTGAGGAATTTTTCAGAGGAAATTCCACCAAATTTCTATTTTGGGGGGAGGGCAAAAACAAAAGTTTATGGCTTAACGATGTTATAGCACAAACTTAAAAGTCAAATCTCATGTGAATCTCATGACTGATGAAAGTTCGTTCTATAAGAATGAAAAGTTTTTCAGCAATGAAAAGGCAAAGAAGATTGAAAACAAAAGTTTTTCGTTTTTTGCATTCAACAGACAAATTTTGACATCTCTGATGGCGGCATCAACAATTGTTGTTGTTTTTGATTCACCGCTGAGAGAATGGCAACACATTCCATTCCTTCCTTTCAGTCAATGGTAATGAATGCATCCTTTTGTTATCATGACAGCGTATTTAACCTGCACGATTGGATGGATGGCTGGATGGATTGGTGTTGTGGAACACTTGTTGGCTTGTCCAGTTTTTTGTCTCAAGTTTTGAATTAATGATGAGTATTGTCGTGGGGGAAGAACGCCACATACATTACATAAAATCCTTGTGTGAATCATTATATATGTATATAAAAAACGATTCTTAAAAAAATCCACACCTTGTTTAGGCCTTGAATAAATATTCCTTAAAATTTCCACACCTTAAGGCCTTAAAAATATCCACTACCTAGTGGTAGTCCTTGAAAAAATCTTCTTTAAAAAATCCACGCCTTGTTGGATAGTCCTTGAACTATCCTTGTTGGATAGTGGTAGTCCTTGAAAAAATCTTATTTAAAAAATCCACGCCTTGTTGGATAGTCCTTGAACTATCCTTGTTGGATAGTGGTAGTCCTTGAAAAAATCTTATTTAAAAAATCCACGCCTTGTTGGATAGTCCTTGAACTATCCTTGTTGGATAGTGGTAGTCCTTGAAAAAATCTTATTTAAAAAATCCACGCCTTGTTGGATAGTCCTTGAACTATCCTTGTTGGATAGTGGTAGTCCTTGAAAAAATCTTATTTAAAAAATCCACGCCTTGTTGGATAGTCCTTGAACTATCCTTGTTGGATAGTGGTAATCCTTGAAAAAATCGTATTTAAAAAATCCACGCCTTGTTGGATAGTCTTTGAACTATCTTTGTTGGATCGTGGTAGTCCTTGAAAAAATCTTCTTTAAAAAATCCACGCCTTGTATGGATGGTCCTTGAACTATCCTTGTTGGATAGTGGTAATCCTTGAAAAAATCGTATTTAAAAAATCCACGCCTTGTTGGATAGTCTTTGAACTATCTTTGTTGGATCGTGGTAGTCCTTGAAAAAATCTTCTTTAAAAAATCCACGCCTTGTTGGATAGCCCTTGAAAAAATCTTCTTTAAAAAATCCACGCCTTGTTGGATAGTCCTTGAAAAAATCTTCTTGAAAAAATCCACTCCTTGTTGGATAGTCCTTGAAAAAATCTTGTTGAAAAAATCCACGGCTTGTTGGATAGTCCTTGAAAAAATCTTGTTAAAAAATCCACGCCTTGTTGGATAGTCCTTGAAAAAATCTTCTTTAAAAAATCCACGCCTTGTTGGATAGTCCTTGAAAAAATCTTATTTAAAAAATTCACGCCTTGTTAAGGCCTTGAAAAAATCTTCTTTAAAAAATCCAGGCCTGAAAATTTAAATTTTTTTAGTTTAAAATGAACCGGGTTTTGCCACGATTTTCAATTGAAATGCCTCTGTTTTTGTTTGTGAATTTTCAATGAAACTAACAGAGATTGCCACAGTTTCCGTTTTGAAAAAAAAGAAAAATAAAAGGATCTGCCACACCGACACGAATGGCCCGCATATTCAAGAAGTGATAAAACAAAAAAAAAATACCAGACACTAGGCTTGCGAGCTTTAGTTGAAACAAAAAACCTCAAGAGAGATTTGTATTTTTTTTGCAGTTTCGTTGTTTCCGTTTCCGTGTTAGAAAAACTAAACGAACTATGTCAGCAGCAAAACTGCATACGCATCTGACGCACACACACATACAACCATACTAACAAAATCAACGACCCGTATACAAATCCATAACAGAATTCTCATTCATATGGAAAACTGAAACTAAAAACAGGAAAAAAAATAGCCGACGAATAGACACATAGAGAAAACAACTAAAATCCTGTATCCTTTCGTTTTTTTCATGTTATTGTTTTTGTTGTCTTTTGTGCCATTGCAGCGTAAAAAATCCATTGTTATTTCGGCACGTGTTCATCCAAGCGAAACACCATCATCGTGGATGATGAAGGGTCTGATGGATTTCATAACGGGCGATTCAACGGTGGCCAAACGCCTGCGGCATAAATTCATCTTTAAATTGATACCGATGCTAAATCCGGATGGTGTCATTGTGGGCAACTCCCGTAACTCACTAACGGGCAAAGATCTCAATCGTCAATATCGTACGGTAATACGTGAGACCTATCCATCGATATGGTATACAAAAGCTTTAATTAAAAGGTAAGTAGAAGGGAAAAAATACTGAAGTTTCGGTAAAGGGTCATCGGAGAGTTTATCGAAAACTAATACCTTTGGCATTTTTGCGGAACGTGTCCAAAATGTGCTTCCCCAATTTTTCTCTCTCTCTTTACAGACTGATTGATGAATGTGGTGTTTCCATGTACTGTGATATGCACGCACACTCTCGCCGCCACAACATTTTCATTTATGGCTGTGAGAATAAACGCAACCCGGAAAAGAAACTTACCGAACAAGTTTTTCCACTTATGTTGCACAAAAATGTAGCAGATAAGGTAAGTTGAGATAGGAGAGCAACCACAACAACAAGCAAAAACAAAAACATGTAGAAAAGCGCAAAGGGGGGAGAGGAGAAGAGAAAGTGGGAGGAAAATTTACAGGGGTGTAGTTGGGAAGGGAGGTAGTGTTTACCTGACAACAAAAAAGTTCGACTCACAAAAACATAACATGGGATACCTCTTAGCCTCACGCACCTCTCATCTCCCTCAATGAGATAATTTCTATCCTCTTATACCTCTCAACTATATCCCTTCCCTCTCCACCTCTCTTTTTTAATGATTTTGTTATAATCATTTTCACTTGTTGTTGTTCTTGGACACTTGATGGGATTTTTGTTCATATTTTTTTCTCTCTCTCTCGCTCTCTTAACATTTTTAATTAGTCAAGAGCCAAAGAAAAATTATTTTTTATTTCCTTCTTTTTGTAATTTTTCTTGAAGTTTTGAATAATTTCCTTTCATTTCTTGTCTTTTCACATCGTACGCAGTTTTCTTTTGAAAATTGTAAATTTAAAATTCAACGCAGCAAAGAGGGCACTGGCCGCATTGTGGTCTGGATGCTGGGCATCACGAATAGCTATACGATTGAAGCCTCATTTGGTGGCTCGCTGTTGGGATCACGCAAGGGCACACATTTTACAACGCAGGTAAGTGAGTCGTTGTCTTGAAGATTAACAAGAGTTAAGAATACGAATTAAAACTTGGACTTTCACATAAAAACCAGTAAGGAAAGTAGTAAAGTCGGACGGGGCCGACTATATGATACTCTTCACCACTTTGGGTTTATCCAACAGATGGAATCCTAACAGACGTCGCATTTTTGAAGGACCATTAACATGAAATTAAACATGTCATTCTGCAACCTATACTAAATTTTGGTCAGATATAGAGCTGCTTCTTACAATGGGACAAAATTATGTAAACAAATTTAAAGCAAAATATCGAAATCTAAACAGATTTCATCGAAACTTTTCACATGTATGTTTTTGCATTCGGCCATATTTTGAGTTCTTCATTAACTTATAAATCCAAATTTGGTGCAAATGGAAGGATATATAGGGATTTTGGATATATAGGGATATATATACATAAAATCGGACGAAAATATATATCTGAACCGATTTTCACGAAACTTAAAACACATCTTTCTACACCTTATTCAGTTCGCTATGCCAAATTTCGTGGAAATCTGAGGATATATAGGAACTTTGGTGCACTATTTACCTAAAATCGGACGAAAATATATATGGGAGCTATATCTGAACTTGAACCGATTTTCACGAAATTTAACACACATCGTTCTGTGCCAAATTTCGTGCAAATAGAATGATATATAGGGACTTTGGTGCATTATTTACCTAAAATCGGACGAAAATATATATGGAGGCTATATCTAAATCTGAACCGATTTTCACGAAGTTTAACACACATCTTTCTAGACTTAATTCAGTACGCTACGCTAAATTTCGTGGAAATCGAAGGATATATAGGAACTTTGGTGCACTATTTACCTAAAATCGGACGAAAATATATATGGGAGCTATATTTAAATCTGAACCGATTTTCACGAAATTTAACACACATCGTCCTAGACTTAATTCAGAATGCTATGCCAAATTTCGTGCAAATCGAAGGATATATGTGGATTTTGGTGCACCATTTACATAAAATCGGACGAAAATATATAATATATATATATATATATATAAATCGGAACCTACTTTTCCCAATTTCAATAGGGTCCGTCCTTGGGCCATTTGTGATCATCCAAATCGGATCACAAATGCGACCTGTACTTTGTTAACAAAAATACGTGGACGGACGGACGGACAGACGGACGTGCATAAATCGGCTTAAAAAGTGATTCTATGCATATTCTCAAAAGGAACCATGTGTCTATCTCGTTTCCTTTTGTCTGTTACAAACATATGCACAAAGACATAATACCCTGTACCACAGTGTGGTGAAGGGTATAAATAGCAGCACTAAAATGGTAGAAAAAATACTAAAATAATACTCTCCGTCATAAGATGTGTTATTATACCGTTCGAAGTAGTTTAAAATTCGGGCTCAGAGTAAAACTCAGTCATATCATTTTTATTATGTCCTTGTGCATATGTTTGTAACAGACAAAAAGAAACGAGGTAGACACTGGGTTCCTTTTAAGAATATGCATAGAATCACTTTCTATGTGGATTAATGCATGTCCGTCCGTCTGTCTGTTCGTCCATGTTAAATTGTATCGCATTTATAATCCGAATTGGATGAAATTTAGCACAGCTCATTTATTTGGCCCAGGAACGAACCCTATTGAAATTGGGAATCGGTTCAGATTTCTCCCATATTTGCGTCCGTTTTAATGTAAATGGTGTACCGAAGTTCTTATATATATGTTTCGATTTGCACGAAATTTGGCGTAGCGTACAGAATTAAGTCTAGAATGATATGTGTTAAGTTTTCTGAAAATCGGTTCAGATTTAGATATCGCTCTCATATATCTTTTCTTCCGATTTTATGTAAATTGTACACTAAAGACCCAAAGTTTGTCCGATTGCCACACAATTGTGTACAATTTACTGAAGTTAAAATAAATTAATTTCAGGCAAGTTTCGTTGAATCCGTTCATAGATACGAAATTTTGCCCAACGAATCGAAACATGCCTAGAATGGCGTTATGCCTATTTTTGAACGTGTGTCTGATTGAGATGAAATTTAAAAAAGTGTGGCATACCGAATTCCGTGTATCCAGTGTGCTATAAATCGATTTACATAAATTTGTCCTATTGTACGCAAACGACTCTAAATCTGCCCGAATGAAATAAAATTTAGCATAGGTTGGAAAAAAGACAAAATATACCCAAAGCGGTGAAGGGTATCATATAGTCGGCCAAGCCCGACTTTATTGCGGGTTTTTTATGGACCACGATTTTGCATGAAATATTTATGATAGAACTTCGAAAATTAGCACAAAATATCTCCTGGTTCATTGGGTGTTGAAAATGGTGTATATGGTTTGGTGTATATGGTTCATTACGATTAGAGAAAATATACTCACACACAATAGCCACATTAGAAACCCCAAAATACCAAATGATAGCAAATTCGAAAAATGGGTCTTACGTTATGACACTTTCGCCCAATGCCATGTAGTTGAAGATCCCAACCGAATTATAAGACAAATGTGGATCAATTTCGAGACTCCAGTAAGAAATTTTATAAAATACTCTTTGGCAAAATATTGTCAAAGTTTCAAGTTTTGATATGGATTGAGTTAATTTCCAAATTGATATGAAAGACATGGCCAGTATATTAAGTAGTATTGAGAATATTTTTACCTGTAACATTTCATGAAGATTAAGATTTATATATTTGTATACGTCTATTGAGATGACATGTATTCTGTCAAATCATAAGAAGTATTTTTGTTAAACATATCTACCTTTCCACTTCGAGTCCTTGTGCGTTTTTTCGTCCTTATTTTCTATAATCGGAAACGAGAGAGAGAAACGAGATTATTTTCAAGTCAAATATTTCAAAAAAAAATTCTTTCATAAGATTTTAGTTTGGGTCCTCAAAATCGATATTTCTCTGTTGTCAAGAGGTCTTTTGTAGGTACTGGGCTTTTCAAGTGATTTTCTTTGAAAGAGCTCCTGAAATTATCTTCTTGTATTCGCAGAAGACATTTCAATTTCGAAAACGAAAAACCTTTTAATATGTCCTCTATGGAGAAATTACTTTGTTACCGGTCTTCTAGAGACAGAAAATACTCCATGAGACGTTTCAACTATCGGTGGAAGAACTTTAGAAAACCCAATCATTGGGATTCTATAGATAGATTCTATAGATGAGATATTTTATTCATAGAATAAACATTTTGGCATACGATATTGATAAAAGACTCCTATGAGCCCGTATATAGATTACACCTAAGGTCATTTACAGCAGGAAGACCATTTATGGGGGTTTCTATAGAAAGATAACCCTTGAAGGAGCCTCTATAGATGGACGATCCTAGAAAATCCTTTATTAAGTATTTTATAGATAGAAGGCCCCTTATGAGGTGTTTCTTAGGTAGAAGACATATCAAGAGATCTTATATAAAAAGTAAGCCCTTAAAGAGGTTTTTTATTCGAAAGAAGACACTTCTTATTATGTTCCATAAACCGAAGGCCCTTCATGACGTCTTCTACAAAGATCTAAAAAATTCTAATCAAGACCTTTAACATTTCTATAGCAAAGTTATTTAATAAGATCGTTTATAGGAAAGGTCTATGATTAGGCCCTTCATGAGGTATTCTATAATTGTTAAAGGATGGATAGACTGGAACTAATTTCTGTGAAGTATAAATATGTGCAAATGGGATATTAGTTTCCATTTCCAGCTCCTTCTTGGCATTAGCGACCATTGGTCTGGCCAACTTGTCGCGTTTGGCCTCTGCTGAATGACGGCTCTTCTACGAAAGAGCCACTTCTTTCAAAAGCTTTCTTTCAAGAAGTTTTATATTCATTTTCCTTTGTTCCATAAACTGTTTGTTCCTTTGTTCCATAAACTGTTTGTTCCTTTGTTCCATAAACCGAAGGTCCCTCATGACCTCTTCTACAAAGATATAAAAAATTCGAAACAATACCTTTAACATTTCTATAGCAATGTTATTTAATAAGATATTTTATAGGAAAGGTCTATAATTAGACCTTTAATGAGGTATTCTATAATTGATAAAGGAGGGATAGACTGCAGCTAATTTCTGTGAAGTATAAATATGTGCAAATGGGATATTATTTTCCATTTCCCGTTTCTTCTTGGCATTGGCGAACATTGGTCTGGCCAAATTGTCGTGTTTGGCCTCTGCTGATTAACGGCTCTTCTACGAAAGAGCCGCTTCTTTCAAAAGCTTTCTTTCCATTTTCTCCCATGATTTTTCTGCTGTCTGGGCTTTCTCTGCAGTCGCAACCAATTCTCTTTCAAGTTCAAGTTGATTTTCTAATTGGAGGTATTTGTTTTTAGCCTCTTCAACTTTAGCCTGTAACGACTGCACCTTTTCTTTAAGGCAGCCATTGGCGTCTTCTGTTCGTTTAAGATCAACTTCTAGCTTCCTATTTCTTGTACGTAACTCCGCCACATCACGACTTTTTTCTCCAAATTCGTCATCATAGCCTTGGTATAGCATATCGGTCACAAGCTTCGATGACCTGATTTCGTCGATCCTCCTCCAATGCCGTTTCAAGACTGCCAATTTGCTCTTGAGCTGGCCTAAACCCTCCAGCCATAATGATTTTCCTCTGCAATATCTCCATCCACCGATCACTAATCAACAGATCGTCTTTCACTTCATCGGGTGCACCCCTCTCTATATCTTCTATATAGTCATATGCGCACTGTATCTCCCGCATATCCACAGACGTATCCAGACTGTCGATATTCTGTACGAACGTTTCAATATTCCTTAGTAGAGCCCTTTTGTATTCGGTCGGTGCCGAGTCTTTGTCTGATTCATCTTCTAGGGTAGATGACTCCATAGCCTCCCCCTTCATCAGCCTGTAGTGTAGATTACTCCCCGTAATCTCACCCAAACATACCACATGTGGCAATAGAAAACTACTATCTTATTCTAGTGTATAAACATTCAATAAGAATGATCTATTATCT